TGATGAACATTCTTTTTATCAAAGATCTACTTTAACTCATTTTTTATACGTATTTCTTTTTGTCACTATGTCCGAGTATAAAGTTGCATCAACAGGAAAACTAAGTTTTAAAGGAGATAAATCATCCAAGTAATTATTCTAAATTTTATATTGAAATCAAACCCAATATAGCGTTCATTTTAGATGAATATTGTTTTTTTAATTAGGAAAAAGAAAAAACGTAAAGCAGAAGAATCAATTGAAGAAGAAGGCAGTCAAGAAGGTATTCAATCTCTAACTTTGTTTCAAACTTTGCATATAAGTGGAACAAATCCAAAAACTGTATTTAGTCGCACTGCACTTGAAGCTTGTTAACTGTATATATAAAATTATTATTCAAAATTTTTAATAATTCATTTATTTTATTTAATTTTTTTTTTTATTTTACAGGTTGGGTGCCTGTTGCAACACAGGAAGATCTGGTTGGCCCCTTATTTTTTATATTTAATGGTGAACCTATATCATGCCTTTTCTGTTCCGAGAAAGATCATTCCATTGGTGTTCGTCCTTTACCCGATAAAAACCTTCAGACTTGTGATCCCGAAGAAGTCTCTTACGTTTTTGTGGGTTCTAAAATTGCTGGGTCAACAGATTGTATATCATTAAAAACTTTTGATGGTAAATATCTTGCTTCCGATAAGTTTGGTGCCATTACTGCTGAGAGAGAGGCTATCGGTCCACAAGAAGAATGGAGACCAATTATTAGGAGTGATGGGATAGCATTACAAAATTATTATGACAAGTTTTTAAGTGTCGATGAAATTGCTGATGGTGGATATAAATTAAGAGCTGATGTAGAAACAATTGGTTTTTGTGAAACTTTGCACGTAAAATGTCAATCTAGGTTTCGTAAAAAGTCAAAGAGTACTAGGAAAGAGAGTAAACCAATTAGCGAATATGAAATTGAACAAATGTATGTATTATTATTTCTTTTATCATTCTAAGGCAAATCATATTATCTTTATTTTTACCCCCTTTTTTTTTTTTTTTTTTTTTGTGTTTACAGAAAAAAATATCAAACATGGGGAGGTGGTCGAATAAAAACAACCAAAGAAGATATATCAGAATTAAAAAAGGCTAAGAAGGAAGGAAGCTTTTCTGAAGCGTAAGTTCATATTTAAACCATTCAAACTATTCAAACCATTCAAACTTTATTTTTAATTATAATTATTTTGTAAATGTTTCTTTTATAGATTACTGGATCGTCGGGAAAAGGTTAAAGCTGATCGCTATTGTAAATAGTTTTATATTTGTTGTTATAATATTAGATTAAAAATTAGCAATGTGAATTTTTTTTTCTTTTTATAATATAGAGTTATTGAATTCCAATAGCTAGTGTTATTTGCAATCTATTATTTTTAAATAACTTGTTTTATAGCCTAATTATTAGGAGGCTGCTAGATAATCCTTTAATTAATAAATCTTAAAAAGAAGCAACGTTATTTAATTGATCAAAAAATATGAATTTTATTATTTGTGTTTTATATAAATATATACAGTCACTATGGATATATGTATATTAGTAAAAAAAAAAAAATCCTACATAAGTTATAAAGGGTTTGAGTCTTGAATTATATAAATTCTATATATTTACTTTAAAATCCTCTACCAGGTATTTCGAGATCACATGCCTTACATTAAATTAAATTTCGAAAAATAAAATTTTTAGGACAGGGTTCGTTACGTACAGTAGATCACAAAATCTATGTTTAGTTATTGAGTTTACTAATTTTTATTAGTGTTAGCATTAGCTATTAGATTTTGTAAAATTTAACATTAATGGCTAGATACGAAATTTTTACGTCACGATTATTCTATTTCTTTAGTCTTATATTGGAATAAATTGAGGAGTAATCAATCAAAAGTTTGACGTATTTTCCCACTAATTTAAGATTGAAAAAGTATGGTAGTGTTTTTTGTATACGTAATATAGTATACTTTTTTTTTATAGCAACTAAATTTAGTTCAACCCTTTTTTTTTTTGAAATCAAATGTAAATTTATAAATTGGCCGATTATAGTATATAGTTGGAAAAAATATTACGCAATATTTGTCACTACATATCGTAGATCCCCCTCTCCACTCGAAGATATTACGTAATATTTGTCACGGCTAGAGGGGACGGGTCAAGGGTCGAAAAGATTTCTAACGCGGCCAAAACAGGTCATATATAAATTATTATAGTGATTTGATATTTTTTGAATTAGGAGTAAGGTCGAGAAATTTTTTGGATTCAAAATTCGAAAAGTTTCGATTTAAATTTACTAATATATTATAACGAATTAATAACGAATTAATAACAGATAACGAATTAATAACGAATTAATAACAGATAACGAATTAATAACGAATTAATAACAGATAACGAATATAATAAATTTTTATAAAATTCCAAGATTAATCTACGTAGATACGACTATTAACTCGGGTCATAACCCGGGTTAAAAATCACAACACGGGTTTGATCTGGGTCATTGTTTTTCCACCCGGGTAAGAGCTCCCTAACGGACATACTTATTTTGCATTTTACTCAAGGACGTCTCAAACTCCGGATCATGTACTGTATATCCTTTAAAGAATTAATTTAAAGGAAATTCATCTTACTAATTATTGATGGGATCGACTAAGTTGATGTAGATCTAAGCGTAATGATTGTAATGATCGGACCATCAATTAAAAAGAAATTAAAGGAATTTAAAAAAAGAAACTAAAGAAATTTACATGTTATTTATCGCACAAATTTTTTTAATAAATTCTTTTTATGGCTTAAAGAAGATCTTACATATCGAGTGTTTTACTAAAATAACATTAACAATTCGGATATTCGGATTTTTTAATACATATCGTAAAAATGCAAGTCCCTGTGCTTAATCACATGCATAAATATCATTGGTCAATTTATTCTACCGAACTTTGAAGTCAACGTACTGTACATACTGTACGCACAACTAACAAATATCTTTAGAACAATTGGTTCAGTATAAAACTCTTAGTTATCTCATTTTGTAAATTCATTCGATTCGATAAAAAAAGTAATTAGAATATAAAACAAAGTGTAATAACACTAGAAGACAACTCGGGCACAATAAGAGGGGCATGTCTCAGCCCAAGACATGCCCCTTCGGGCATTCCCTGTGCTCCCACCCTATATAGCATGATACATTGTTACTCCTAATTAAACCATTCAGAATGTAAAATTGGGTGTAATGTGGAAATCAATATGATCGCTAAGTAACGGTAATAATATCATTTTTAAACAAAATTGGGTAAGTAGTCTTACTATTGTTGATAATTTTTTTTTGAATAAAAATTTTTTTAATTGAAGGCGATAAATGATAATACCACTTATTTTATTCAAAGTAAAGCTTTGATCTGTTGAAAAATCTGTTGGATAATCCGGACTATTTTTATCTGGTGGTGATTGTAAAAATAACATTATTTATTATTTAACCGTTTGACGTTGTCGCAGTATATAAAATTAACTAATTATTGTCGCGGATCATAATGAAATCGGATTAAAATGAAATTTGAGGTTTCTATTTAACGTCTTAAAGACCCACTTATACTTGTTCATTATAAATTCTACCACTAAAGGTTTTCCCAAACTCTAAAAAAATGCTAAAAAAATGCATCCCAAAATTTTGTATTTTTCGGTGACTTGTTTATTTAACTTTATACAAAATTTCATTTTAATCTTATTTCGTTTTAATCTGCTACAATTATTAAACCTTATATACGTTCCC